GAGCCTGCAGGAGTTTCAGAGCAGAAAAACTACTCTATGTGTTCCATGGTGATGAATACATGTCTCGATTCATTTGTCAAAACCTACAGCACATCCAACACCAACAGTGAAGCCCAATGTAAGCTCTGTACATTGAGTGAGGAGCACGTACACCACTCTGGTGGGGATGCAGACAGTGGCGAAGGTTGTGGTGCTTGTGAGGCAGTGTGTGGAAACTGCCTACTCTTCAAATTTCAGCAGGGATCTCAACCTGCTCTTAATGGTTTTTTCTTTTTTTTTAAGAATGAATGCCTCAACATCTGTCCCAGATTAAGGGGAAAAAGATGTATGCTAAACTGAACCTAGTATCCTTGAACATTCTGCCAGATATGTTGCTGATATTATTGAACAGCATAGACGCAAACTAGCAAACCCTTCTTCACAATGGTGTTGCATATCTAAAATGACACACTTAATGGAGTGTCTGGAACAGAACAGAGAGGCAGAGGTGTTTTTTTTTTTTTCTGTGAACAAATGGAACAATGGGATTTAAATCCTGAATCAAACTTTTTTCCCCTAACTTATCTGGGTAAGTTGCTGAACACTTTCAAGGCTTAACTCCTTTAACACATATTGGCAGTAGAACCTACATTTGAGAGGACCTGAGTTTTAAATCAAATAATTCATATGATGCTGTTAATACAGCATATTAACAGAAAGCACTTAAAATAATTCATTGTTATTGCTATCATCTCAATTATTGTATAAATACTGTCTAATTTAGTTCAGCATCAATTGATTTGCAAAAAATGCACTGCTTCTTAAAAATTGTAACAGGTGGTATGACTGTATTTTAAACAACCCCAAAACACACAATAAATTAGGAAAGGACTTGACTCAAGCTGCACACCTTTTCAGGAGTGTATTAATTCTACGGGAGTGAGGTACAAAAGCTGTTTTTTTTTGAGAAACACATTAAAAATTGTTAAGAAAAAAGAATTTGTCTTTTAACATCACTAAAATGTGGAAAACACATCTGCAATATTTGGAAGTAATAGACTGAAGGCTAAGGCATCTACATCTAGGATGAATTTACCTTCCCTGAAAGCCACCAACAATAGCAAACATTTGTTAAATGCATATGCTCAGAATGTTGTTAACCCAGATGTTAGACAAGATCGGTTAATCAAATGCAGGATCTTTCAATTATGGGAATTACTAAGTGGAAAGCATATTAGAGATAAGCTAGTTCTAACTCCAAATGTTGCAAGCAAAAAGCCTTAATATCCAGAGAGGAATTCTGACAGCTGATGACTTTTCCTTAGCTCGAAAAGGATTACTCATTCTTCCTGTTGACTCCAACATTGGACTTTCTGAAGGAAAGGTGGCATTTGGTACAAAGACCAAGAGAACAATACATGACTGAATCTTCTCTGTAGGTTTCATCACTTACTAGGAAAAAAAAAAAAAACAAGCTAAGGGAAGAATGAATGCTCCTTTACTGCCTTTCAGATGTAACAAAATTGCTTTTGCAAAGCAAGACCCCGGAGTTGACAATTGCCTCTTCTAACAGGCCATTCCAGAAGCCCAGAATATGTAAAGAATGTAACAACATCCTGAACTTTAACACCACATTCAGAACACAGCTGTGCAAATAGTTAAGCAGCAAATCCTTCTGATACTTCTGACACTGAATTCTCCAGAAAATGCTTCTAGCACAAGTATAAGCATAATGGCGGATTTGACATAGGTTTGTGAACCATTTACAAATAATTTAGATGCTCCTAGAGAGGAAAAAGTTGATTCATACAATAGGATCTTCATTTCCACTTTCATTCCTCTTCTTGATCCTATTTCTTTTCAATGATGCAGCTCTATGTTTATGGATAGGTAAGTCAGAGACAAGCAAGAAGGTCTGAATAAGAGCAGATGGGTGAGCATTATTTTGCAAAATTAATTCTATGTGCTTGTAATAAATGTTATTGGAAAAAAACGAGTGCTTGGAAATATTATACTAAATCTAAACAGAATTCTTCTCTAAAATAATTGTTAGTGCCTTTTATATGCTAATATGCATTGTGACTCTCTTGAGAGAGCTACCTAGAATAGTTTCCAGCATTTTCCTGATTTGATCTCTTGGCATGAATGGCCAAAAATAGTTTAGCCATGTTCTGCAAACTCCCAAAGTGTATCTCATGTGGTATGAGACAAAAATGAAAAAATTTTCAGGAGTGGGTTTTCATTCTTGGCTTCTTCATTGACTGGCCCCTACTCAACTAAAATCAGAATTCAGTACTTGACCAGGATGCAAAATAGGTATATAACATGGATAAATGTTTCCCTAAGCACAAAACTACAGAGAATGTTCAAGATGATAGAGATCTTATGTCATGCTCATGACATGGAGTAGTGACAATGAAGTTTTCATTAAATTATCAGGATAAAGGAAAGTGCCAGAGTCACCTCTTTCAAGGACTTCTCCTGTGACTTTTGACATCTAGTATTTTTTGCAGGGGAGGGGATTCCTCAAAATGTGGGAACTTTTGGGATAACACTTGATTATCAATGTATTCTTTTCTAAGTTTATGGAAGAGGGAGTAAAATACTATTTACTGGGACAATTAGCATTTGTAGAAAGTGCTATCACATACAAACTCTTCTTGTTTTAATGGGTTCTTTGAGGGTACTAAGTAAGTTTGGGCTTAGAGATGGTGTGGGAGATAGTTAGGCAGGCGTAAGAATCTACTGAAGAATGCAGGGTTATCCCAGTAAGGGGAATAGTAGGGTTTCCATCATAGGATGTGACAGAAAGCCTAGGTCATCAGGGGAGGATAAAGCCAGAGGACCATGATAGACAAGCCTGTAATTTAATGATGAATTACCTACACTATCAGGATTATACAATCTTTCTTTCTCCTCACTTCTTCAGCAAGGCCAGAATGAAGCACAGAGCCAGATCACTGGAGACTGACCCCTGATATAATCCAGCAGTGGGAAGGCTCACAACATGAGAATGCCATTATTATTGATAGAGATCATGGGGAAGGGCTTGTGCTCATACATGTATACACTGAGGGAGTGAGACTTATTTAAAGCCTAAGAAACAGAGATCCCAGCTGATACATAAATAGCATAAGGAAACCATTGGACATGGTGGAACTCTTCTACTCCAGTTACTTATGGCTTTTGCAACCTGTCAGAAATTCCAGTAACTCCCAGATGAACTGGCTTATATTCCCAATTATGAATCATATTGCATTGTAAATTTACATTCAATACTACCCAAGTTATATCTCCCAGGCTTCTTCCAAGTTCCTGTGACTTTGTTCCCTGCCTCTGTAAACATCTCCACTATCTCTTCCACTTCCCAAGCAGACATCTTAACTCTTCCCTTCCATTCATACCACATAGCTAACTAGACACTAAATTCATCCTAATTTTCAGTTTATGCATCATCCCATTCTGTATTACTCCTCAGTTTCAAATGCATTTTTTAAATCTTGGAACTTTATTATATTCAAATGCATAATACTCCAGTAACTAAAGAATTCAACAACAAAAAGTAAAAATCACTATAGTTCAGTAGGAACACAGACAAGGACCATCAAGAACAACAAATGGAAAGATGCCAACTTCACCCAAGAAAAGTCATCATCAAGCTAGCACCTCATAAACACTCACCTTTTTCATTCCATCTATTCCCTAGACTGAATCAATTATTACAAAGATCTGATCAAAAGTCACTCTAATGTGAGACAACCTCCAAGTCCACCATTGCCAAGTTCTCTGCCAGGCTTAAAGGTTCTTTATTGTATCTTGCTTCTGTTACCAATTTTACCCACTGTTGCTTACCATGCTATATATATTTTTAAATAGGAAATGAATTTGTTAAAAATTATCAGGTATTTTACAGCATCTTAAGGAAATCTGTAACTTAGGTGTGCAATGAATAAGAAGCAAGGACCAAAACTTTATAACATCAATTTTAAGAAGTATAGATTACATCAATTATAAGCAAAAAGTGAAAGCCTGGAAAGAATTTGTTCAAGATGACATTTGTATCATCTATGCTTCAAATTAAAAACATTAGTTTGCATTTTTATCACTCATTGGAAAGCATTACAAAGATCCTTGATGATTGCTAGAGTTACACCTTATGAGCAAATACCCTTCATGTGGTTGAGATGTTACCAATGTAAGGCGCACTTCCTAGAGGGCGACCTTTCATTCTAAAGCTGCTGTGGGTAGTTTTAAGGACACAGGAGGTGGCTGGAGAACAGAATCTGAGTTTGTTTCATCCTTCATTGCTGAAGGGGCCTTAGGCAGACCATTTCATTTTCTTAACCTCATTTCCTTTTACTCTGCAAGATAATATCTACTTCTCAGTGTGGTTATGCAGAGCAAATAGAATCCGCGCACAGAGATTGTGCAAACTGCACAGATTTACATCAGGCACTATGTAAATGCAAAAAGGAGTGCTATGAGCAGAGAAACAGACATGAACTCAAAACACATGGAAACATGATCCATGTCACAAAAGGACTGGTTAAAGTCCCATCCCTGTACCTGCAGATAGGATGGTTGGAAATACGGTCTTTTCACAAATAACTGAGTTAACATGGTGCCCACTCCAGGTAGGTTTTAATCCAAAATGAACTGATGTCCTGATTAGGGGAGAGAGAAGACACGGTGACGTAAGAGAGAGACAGCAGATGATGAAATGATACAGTTACAAGACAAGGAACACTGAGCATTGTCAGCTGTCCTCAGAAAGCAGGAGAAGCACAGAACAGGTTCTGCCTCAGTCCTTGGGAGGAACCGATTGCATTGACACCTAGATCTCGGATTTCTAGCCTCTAGGAACTTGAGATCATACAGCTAGCTAGTTTTAAGCACCTGCTTTGTGGTATTTTGTTATGGAATCCCTAGGAAACCAAGATGCATAGTTCTATTACTCATTAGCTCTATTCATTTGAGTTAAATTATGGAGACATTTCCGCTGATCATCGCAAGTCACTCACCGTTCTGTGATTGTCTCTCTGAGTCCACTTGCCACACCTTTGACCACAGTGCTAGCTTTGGGGGTCAGCACCACCTGAGATATAAAAAATGAGCCCTTCTTTCTTCTCTCAGTGATGGATGCCTGAAGAAACTGGATCAGCTTTTCAGGGTCTGTGGTGTTGGCCCAGGGTGCTGGCATCATCTGCCCAGGCCATAGGAAGGGGACTTCCAGGGCCACTGGACTGTGGTAGAAAACCAACACCTGATAGTCCTTCTCCCACAGGTACTTCAAACTAACTTCCTGGGCGAAAATAGCTGGGCACATTTTGTTGCCATAGATGTCTTTCAGCATTTGGACCAGTTTTTCATGGTGATATTTCTGCATCCCATAAAAATGGTTGAAGTCCAAGAACACCACTTCCTTGTGGTGATCTGTGAGGAATGCATTGATCTCCTCAAGGCCTTCATTGACTTTGGCACTGAACAAGCCATGAGCAAAATAGAGTTCATTATCAGGATCCCTGGGCTTGGTGGAAATTCGAAGATCAAAATAACGGATACCAGCTCCTAGCTGACCAGTAAAGTTCATTGTCTGAGTGGCTAACCATTTCCTCATCAATTTTTTGGCCACAGTCCCAAACACAGAAACAAAATTCTGGACAGTTTCTGGCTGCTCAGGACCCACAGGAGAGGCTTCATCAATGTAGAAGCTGAAGGAATCATGAGAACCTAGGAGAATAACAAGGAAAAATGTGGTGAATTTTCAGGTTTTTATCTGTCACACCATCTTGCCCTATTGCAATGCCCATACCACTCCTTCAAATGAGCCAAACGTTGAGCAACATATCTTAGAGTTAATTACTGTCTCAGGATGATTCATTTTATGACCCAGTACAGAACACAGAATACAGCTCGATGTATCAAGTTGACAGTGAAATATTACAATTTCCTTTTGCTAAATATTTTAAAAATTTCTTTGAGAGGTAGAGAGATAAACAGAACATTCACTCACTGGTTCACTCCCTAAAAGCCTGCCATGATAAGGGTTTGGCCTGACCACATCCAGAAGCCAGGAACTAAATCCAGATCTTCTTACATGGTTGGAAAAAAAATAATTACTCAAGTCATTGGTACAGCTTGCTGGAGTTCATTAGCAGGAGACCAGTCAGGAGTGTGAGCCAACTTCAAATGCAGACATTCCAGTGAGATCCAGGCATCTTGATGGTCACTTAGTGGCAAATTTAAATGTTTCATATCCAGCAACATTTTAAAAACCACATATTCACCTAGTCTGGTGAGCCAAACATGCAGCATATAATCTAGGGCTGTCTTTCCATGTAGATCACCAAAGTCATCTTTCCCAAAGATTTATGGGGACTCACTACTTCCCCAGTACTTTGTCTAAGATACTCTCTATCATTTTATGTTGATTTCAAGTGTAAAAGCCTTATCTCAATGAATAAAGCTTGTTTTTTGTCCCCATCCACTGACAATTATGAATTTTTTTGAATTGTTATCTCACACTTTGGAAAAGCACAAGAGGTCAAATGTTTAGAGGAAAGGAGAACTAAGATGAGAAGACAGTACAACACTGATATTCATCACTTAACAGGGATTTATTTTGATAAGATCATGAAGTGATTCCATCATGAACGTATTAATAGCATATACTTAAACCAAAATAGCTATAACATCACTAGCTGATATGCCACCACCAGGGGTATGATTTGTTGCTATTCAGCATATGCCTATATTTAACTTCATTCCTGGCATTGTGTTTTGGCGATTGTGAACTTAGATGTGGTTTAGAATTTTTTATATTAAATAATCAATGAATTTTTCTTGCAAGTTAACACAACTGGCAATATTTAAGAACCAATTAATGGTCTGGGTCCCCTCAACAGTGAAAATGAACCTTGAAGCTCGCTTTTAAGTTTAGATTCCTCTGTTAGGAAGAATTAGGATTAATTATTTTTGTAAGTTACAAATCTACAAACTAACAACAATGTGGTGTGTTGGCCTATAAATACTGCAAAGGATTTAAAGCATAATTAGAAACTAATAAAGAAAAATGGTTTCAAGATTGAATTTTCTTTTTAAACTTTCCTTTAATTCTGGATAGGATTAATTGTGTAGCTAAAATGAAATGATCACACCCTAAGTGGTTTACGCATGATCAGAATCAGACCTTTCGTCTTTCACGACCTGGTTCCAGCACCATCTTTCCCCATATGTTACTCGGGCTCTTCCTGCAGACACCTGCACTGACTGCTTCTGCCTCAGATCCCTTGAGGCAGATGCTTTTCTAGTCATTTTACTCCCAATGCTAGCACACACGTATACACATACACACGTATTATACATATATACTTACATACACATACCTCTGATTTTACCCAAACACCCACCTTTGGTGCCTTTTTCTTGCACGTTATTTGAAGTAACTTTTTAGGGATGCAATATTTATGTCTATATTCCATGTTTGTATCTATATACATCAACATATATGTATGTGTATCTACAGATGTCCAACTTTAATAATCCGTAATAACCTCAAGATTATGAGGTTCAGATACCATGGTAGGTTGTTAGAAAAAAATACTTTCCTGAACACTAGTATTTTGATGTCCTACAGATCAAAACATTTTGGATTTAGTGAAAATGTTTCAATATTGCTAATTTGTTTAAAATAAAGAAAAATAGCCCAAATATACAGAAATGCCTTGCTGACTACCTGAAACTGTGTGATCTATTCATTTACTCTAAATGAGTAAAGGTGGCAACTGAAATTCAGCATGGGCAAATTTCCACAGGCCTATAAATTACTACATATTGATTCATTAATTGCTATTCAGTTGACTATTAAATGAACAAGTCAATCTATGCTGCAGTTCACTATACACAGACATGTTTAAGAAATAATGAGTTTGAGTTATAATTAAATGATCCAAGATTAAAATAAATAAACATTTCTTCGAAACAAAATTTGAAGATGCTCATTTCCAAGCATGTGGAGTAGGGTAGATGAAAATAATTGATTACTTCTGTACTCTTGTAGAAGATATAATTGGAAGCGCACAGAAAGGGAATCGGGTGTAATTTAATTTTGTTTTTCTAGAAAGAAGTGGTCTTTGTTACCCATATGCCTTTGACTTTAGCTTATTGTATGGTCATAATAAATACACACAATTCTAAAGGCAAAAATAATCAACTACTTTGAACTCTCATGAAACAATGTTATTTCTAGATTGCATTATCTGTTGACATGCAAAGAATTTTATTAAGATAAAAACTGAAATTTTAAAAGCAGACAGGAAACAGGAGGAAAAACCAACAGTACTTCTATCAACATTCACCCTGCATAGGCAACCCCATGGCATGTGCACAGGAGCCATGTGGAATGGTGCCCTATGAAGGGGCTTCACACTTTAGATATTGTTTGAATCAGAGACCTTTTTTTGAGACTGTTACAGCTGAAGGGAGCGGCTACTGGCAGCTAGTGGGTTAGGACCAAGTTTTGTGTGAGAATATTCTCTTAAAATCAAACAAATTGAGTGCCTATAGCATGCAAGAAACACATAAATGGTACATGTGAGCACAGGTGGGATTGTGGCTGAAAATTAAATTAATAGCATTTATTAAGGGAATAAAAGTCTGTTTAATCAAGTGCCTGTTATGTCCCATTTCCTTGTACATTTAAAGATTGTGAAGACATTAAGTATTCACTACACACCATACATTAGCTCAATGACATACAAATAAAGCACATATATGATCGTTTGGGACTCTGTCCTTGTAGAATTCATATCACAGTGGAGAGGCAAGAAAACCCACCACGACCACAAAGTTTGCTGAATGCACAGATCTATACTGTATCTTTTGATACTAGAGGGGAAACTCAATTGGGCATGGAGGGAATTCAGGGAGGAGGACAGGAAATCTCCGAGCCTATGGAACTGTATCATAAAACAATAATAAAGTCAATTACTCCAAGGCATCTCCTCCCACAACAGGTTTATCCTGATGACAGGTACCTAAAACACAGCATCAACAGCAGCCCCTGAAAGGAAGGCAATGAGGATTCAGTGTCCAGTACAGTTACGTGCATGACAAGGGAAAGGAACAAACCTGGGAAGGAGGTGCAGATGCCACCCAGGGAGCATTTCTGATCCATCTCTGTTAGCTCATTGCATGAAATACTGATCTCCATTCCAGCTCCTACCCATGACCGACTGATCCCCTGGAGACCATCTGGCATGGCAAACCCAGAGCATCAGGAAGCCCTGAGTATCTGTAACCACAGGGGTAACCCTGATTTCTTGGGCAAACAGATGAAATAGCCTTGAGAAAGGGAGAGGGAACACTGGATAAAACCAAATCCACTTTACAGAAACCAGCTATTCTGAAAGAAAAATGGCTGTGTCTTTTTCTCTTAGAAGAAAATGAACATGAAACATGGAAAATAAATAGTGCAATTATTAAATACTCTGAGATTTGAGAGCCAGGATTTGAAAGCCCAACTATTTAGTTTTGTCCTTGCATGTCTGGAACTATTTGTTTTCCTTTTATGAATAATGAGAATCTGAAATAACACACATTACCCTTAATCATGTTTGTACAGAAGAAACATCTCCTTGAAATACAAGTCTTTGATTCTCCGATGTGCTCAGAAAACAGTACTTCCTGCCAACAGTTCTTTTTCTTATCAGGAAAGGAATTGAGTTTGGGGAATATTCCTTTCCTCTTTCCTTCCAGTTTCTCTCTCCTTCCAGATTTGAGATTTGAGGATAGAGAACACATCTTCTCTTACTTCCAGCACTGAATCAGAAATGCAGTAATAAGAAATTGTCTATGGAACCAGTGCACGTGTCCTGGCTGGCCTCTAAAAACTAGGAGATAGTTACATGAAGGGATCTATCGCCACACACACGATTTATACAATCATGCTAACGATCTAGAGTATCAATTACAAATAGACATAATATGTATCAGATTACGTTATGAATATATTTACATAGTGCTATAGTCTTCAAACATTGTTTACATAATTGCATCCTGTATTTACTAATATGAGTCTTCTAATTTGCATTTGATTTTCCTCTCATAAAAATTATATGATAATGAACTCATTTTCTTATAACAAATTCTTAGGCATTCAGTAGTATCATTTCTTGGGTGACATTAGCTCTTTTTCCTCCTCTACTTCACTCCTTTTCTCATCTCAGTCAAAACTCTCTTAACGGGAGCAAAGGATAGACGGGTGCTGTGGAGGTCACGAGGGATGTGTGGGTAACGACAGTGCCCAGGAACTTATGCACTAATCATTTCTTACTATGATCCTCTTCCATTCATGAAACATTTATCTGTTCTACATAATTTGTTTTCTTCTGTTTTTAAAATTGTTAATTGCTTCAAAGTTTTTATTATTATGCATATATTCTCATACATGGACTATATAATGAAGACTAGCATATTGGGCAGTGAAGACACATTGCAGTATGCATCTCTATTCCCTAGTAAAAGGAGGACTCAATAACACTGGTAAATACACCTTGACAATGGAATATCAGACTTCCTACCATTGCCTAGACCTACAATGCCATGGTAAAGGGCAGAATATTGGACTTGTGACTATTGCTGAAGGACAATCCTATCATAGTAATATAGGGGGAAAAGCAGAGTGGGGATAATGGGGAGGCGGGAATCCCTATGCCTACAACACTGTATCA